ATTCAATCCTACTACTGTATCTTGAAATGTTCTTGCACTAATTTCTTAAGTAAGGAAAGAAGATGAGTTCTGGAAAGGACCTTTTGCAAACTGGGCAAGTTCCTTGACTTGGTGCAGATGTCGGAAGTTAAAATGCTGAGGTAAAGCAGTCACCGGCGCAGAAGATGGTGAATGATCAAACAGTTATGGGAAATACCGATGCAGTTGATTGTGAGTAAGTATTAAGATGAGTTAGAGTGGCTGGTGAATGAGAAGATGGTAGATATATAGCACCCTTTCTGTTTGAGTACAACATATGAATTTGCTGCCGGGTGAACAATTTTTCTATAAATCAAAATCATTTCGCACCTAGAAATATTGAGATTGACTGGTGAAAGATACAACGACTGGAAGTTTTTTGGGGCTCTTAGAGAATCCAAGCCTCACTCCATAGGTATGACTGAGTAATGACAAGAGGATTAGTCATCGGACACACGAAATAGCAGTATTGCAAGTGTGAAAGTCATTCAGAGTGTATGGAGAAATACGATCCGTACGAGTTCTTCGATCGTAAAGAAGTTTGCCTTCGACCCTCGGCACGATTGGAGAAATCGGGGGTTCCTTGTGGAACTTGTTATCAATGGCATTGCCACAAGCCTCTACACCGGTACCTATTTAGAAACTGGCTATTGACTATGCTTCAGTAAATAATCCAGATTTTTTACCTCAGACATTCCGTAAGGAACAGACTTCCAAACCCCATGTACCTCTTGTGCACTCATTGCAAACTTTCTACGTGAAACGACTTCAATGCTTTAATATCTGAAACTGAATCATTTCCGGCCCGGTTATCCATAATTTGTTATATTTGTATATATTCTACTCTAATCCCAAAGAACCTGTTCGGGACAGAACTATGACAAAAATATTCTGCCAGTAAAAACATTTAACAACAGCTAAGTCCCCACTGATAAACAGCACACAGAGAAGTCAAGAAGAAAAACAATATGAAGGCTCGTTTTCCCTTCAATTCTGGAGAACTACCTACCTCCCAGTGAGACTTCCTCTCCAAAGCATAAGAAAATATGCGACTGTGTGAACAAAATACCGGTTCAAATTATGAACTGATGGAAAAAAAATTAATGTACAAATGTAATGTCAAAATGGAGCAGAAGGACGGGCTAAAGCTATGCATTTACTTGATTTTGCCTAAGGACTAAACGGAATATGGCATACCCATAACACAGTTCCACATACTTTTTTGTTTTGTTGTATGTAAGTCCTGCTTTCTACTTTTTCCTGGTGGTTTTTCCTTTTATCGATTCACTCCATGCGAAGCCATCATATCTGTTTACAATCTCCTTGATCTGAGACGAGATCTTATGAGATTGTTATGAGGATCTATCACGTTGTAACTCTTTACCACCTTCGGATATACCCAGTCAGTACCAAACCAGTTGTTTCGAATGAGGAAACTGAATCTCATCCGTTGCCAAAGGTACTCAAGAATTTCATCTTCCTTCAACTCAACCGGAGCTCCATGGCAAATAATAGACTCTGAACTCATTCTAGTCAATGGTGATACTAGTCCGTGTGACTCTCACACCGACCCTTTGCGGGCTTAGTTTCAATTCAATCTAGGAACACAACTCAGTCCACTACATCTTTGCGGATGTAAAAACAAAAACTTCGACAACAGAAACAAGAATGAGAGTAACCCGATAAGACATAGTCATGTCTCGAGTCCAGATAGGAAGAGCATATCAGAATACTCATATATCTGAATTTCACATGTCGAAATAGGGAAAACGGGATATGAACCAGGCAGTGCATGGATAGTGATGTTCTATTCATGGAATATATACACATACAACTCGTTTCTTTGATATGGCACTGCAGGTTGGACTTCATCATTTTCCTTCCTATTCAAGTGAAACATTTATCTAACTGACATACAACCTAAGACTGGCGAAGTCCAGAAACTGATGTACACTCTGCATCCTTTTGTCCATTGCATATATAAATTCAAATGCTCATACAACAACAGCCACTGACTGGGGAACTGGAATCAAGAAACTGACATATAATATCATCCCTCTCTAAACATGGATAGAAATTCATGTATAATCAGATATCAAAATAATGGTACATACTCTGACATGATATCATGCATCGGAAACACGAAAGCTACCATTGTAAGGACCTTCGAAATTTTGGCTCAACATTGACGACTCAAGTTCATTACAAAAGTCCTCGAAACAACTTCTAGCTGACAGGCATGTCTATATTTGCCCCTCCTCCTTTTCTAAAAACTCGGATTTTCTCATAGAATGGCTATGAAGACATTTTCTTTATGAATAACGTTATGGTCTCATAATAAGAGGACACATGGCTCTTTGTGTTTTGGGATTGTGGATAAATATTGTGCAAGTATGTTGTTGTTTTATGCTTGAAATGGACTTCCAGGGTTTAGGCAATGTGACACTATATTCTTTGTGTTATGGTAAAGTATATGCATTTAAGTTAATATGAATTGACTATTTGAGAATCCTGAAGTGAAATGAAGCTCTAAGTTGAAGTATTGAAAGTGCAAATTATAATCAAAATGTAACATTATTCACATATCAGCGCGATTACATTCACCAGTTATTTCATCTCTGATATGTGCAAATGTCGACGATGAAGATAATTCGTTTAGGAATTCCCAAGTTATCAGTGTTCCATTCACTATTTCATCCAAAAGAATTGATGCTCTATGTCGAATATATATACTGATATGAATTGCAAAATATCCTTTAAGACATATAAAAGATGACTTTTTGAGTGATCTATTCAACGTGATCTTTTATTAAATCACCAGGTAAAAGGAAGTTCATTGACTTATACAATTTGGTATATATTGGAATTAAAATTTCCTCGGAATCTCATCTCGACTCTATACATTCTATTCTCAAATGGCTACGTTGTGACTCCAGCTTTAGGGTATTTAAGTGTTTTTAGGATGGGGTCTCCGAGTCAAAGGAAAGATGGTGGTTCAGTTCCATCTATGTGAAAGTTCTTGTCAGTTAAGAGACAACCCATTATTTCTTTTCAGACTGTCCCGGTCAGGGACCTGAAATTTGCAATTACAGAGTATAATGTTTGCACAAAGAATCTATCCATGATTAAAGCCCAAGTTCTGTCGATCTCAACGTGCCCGATTTGCCATTATCTTTTTGGACATAAAGGTTGTCAGATCGTTCGTGAAGCGCCTGATGTAGAAAAAGCATTCATGCAGTTGAATCGTGAACATTATTTTGATTCGCTAATTTCAGTTTTTCATAGAAATTGTATCAATCTGAAGATAGAGGAGTCTGTCATACTTTTTTCTTCTAAACTATCACCCTCCGATTAAAACGAAACTCTTAAAATGTACAATTCTAATCAGCTGATAATCCCCTTTTGTTGGAATTGAGGTTGACTTACTGTAAACTAAGCGTAATGTAAAACTGCTTGCTGATGAGTATACATTAGTAGATTAGAACTTTCCAGGAATCTCATTCTATGTTCCATGCAAGAAGATTGATGTTTTAAAAAAGGGGCCTAAATTGCAGTCATTATATTTTAATGATGCCGACAGTCCCAGTGATCGTAGTTGAAAGACGTTTCAACGATGTTATTGGTTGCAAATCCACAGCAAAGGGTGGGAACGGGAAATCTGTAATATACATATAACTTGAATGGAGATCAACGCTAAATTGCTCACATTATCATCATCGAAAGATCGGTTCATTTACTTGGCGTTTACTACAAGAGAGCACTTCGCCGATTAAAATCCATGTTCCAGCAGAAACTACGATCTTTACGATTGGGCAGATCACTTCACTCACTAGGCAGCTACTAGAAGGAAAGCTAAGCTAATAGAGGGAAAGCTAAGTCCACAACTCCCCTTTGCAACACAGCTTTTTTGATTTCTTATTCTTGTAAAATTGTTGAGTATTTTCGGGCAGCTCACCAAGATTGGGAAGGGGAAGGGCAACTCAGAGACATTGTCAAGAACCTTGGAAGAGTTACATGCGAGGTCACTGTCTCAAGCGGGGTAAGCTACTCCGCTTGAGACAGTGACCTCGCGGAGTAGCTTACCCGTCAGTTTTGCTTTTGGCTGAATAGATTAGTTGAGAGTATTACTAGCTAGACTATCTGATAACCTTTACCGGCACTAAACCTATGTTTACACATTCTTGTTGGTTTTAACCCAACCGTTGATGAGCTGCTGAGCAAGCGTTGGTTTTAAGTCTGGAGTTCGCATCATCGGTCTCAACTACTAGCTTCATTGGCTCCGACGAAGTGACTCCGCATGGCGGAGCTGGAAACAACATGGAAAATGCACCATTTGAAGTGGACTCTGTTTTGGCTAAAATTCAAATGAAATGTTTGCAATCCCTGTAAGTTCATCATATATCACCAGTTTCTGTTTATGAAGTTTGTTTATTGACATAAATTTACCATGTCAGCGAAATTTATCATCTGTCTCATACGGATCTCGTTACTAAATCTGTTGCATAGAAACAAGCTACAGAAGACTCTGGGTAGCTCATACTAATTAACAGGTGATTTTACTAAGTGATTGGATAGCATATATGAATTCTACTTTCTTCAGAATGATCATATGCGAAATTTCTTATAATCTGCAAAGACAAATGGAAGTTTTGACTATGAAATTCAGAGTAGATAAAAGAGTAGCAGGGAACTTGCCTTGGTCAAGAAGAACACTGGACTCATAGACTGGTTCCAAAGACGGTCAAATGCTCCAACCAGTCTTAACACAAAGAAACAGAATCTGACGATGTGAACTTTGCCAGTATAGCAAGTTCAAGGACCAACTAAATCTCTACTACCACTAACAGAGGTGGATAAACATAACGCCATCGCAAGGCTCACACTCGTCATCATTTCCAGAACTTACCCTCTAAATGAAAATTTCTTAATGCAAGTAGAAAAGAACAAACCACCCTCATGCTGAACAGAGTTATAGTTTTACACCAGACAGAGATAAGAAACAATTTTAGCTTCAAATTAATGTTACAGACGAACAGCCAGAGGGGCTGAAGCATTACATGTGGTGGTTTTGAATTAAGGAAGACCTGGAGGAAATACTGGTAAACCCATTGGCAATTCTCCACACTTAGTTATGACAACTGTTTTCAGGGGACGGTTCCAAAAATTTCTTGCATTCGCTGCACGATCATCGCCTAGAAACTCAGCGAAGTCATTAAATTGACGGATCTTTTCACTAGGTTTATACGTTGGAACCTTTGCCACAGCAGCCACCACGTCCAATCCTGCGAGTAAGCATATGAAAGATTCTGTTAGGCAATGGTGCTAAACACAAAGCCACTTCACAAGGATTGACCACATGCTAGTGTATGAAACAAGAAACATAAGAACGCACTTCAAACACATTCATTTAATTCCATAGTGCATTTCTATGAAGTCTTCCTCCTGTTGCTCTTCAAAAGGTCTCCAAAGGTCAAGCGAATAGACAAAGTTGATCTAATTTCTTAGGCTCGATATCCTTAGGACGTACCTTCGAGCACAGTTCCAAAAACGATGTTGCCATTGTCAAGTTGCGTAGCTGGTCCTGGACCTGAAAAAAAAAACTGAGTGTCAAATTTCTCCAAAATTTACTATCTCCTCTTGCCATCAGGACTTATGGAAGAAGGTGAAGAACTCTTCACATCACCAGTTTGTTATAGCTTTAAAAGGTGTAAAGACTCTTCGAATTCCACAGACGCGTGAGTTTTGAAGCATAGGCATCATGATATCCAAAATGAAGACCTCGTTTATGCTACGAATGCCAGCAGGCCAGATTATTCTCTGCCTTAGGCTCGTTTCGCCTCAGAACACTGATTCAGCATGGGGTCTCAGTAATGTAGGGAGGCTCAAACCTGTGGTGATCAGAAACTGAACATTGCGGTAGTCAACATCGAGCTTCAAATCTTCCTCGTCATCGTTTTCGGACAAACAGAGAGACACAGTTCCTGGCCTCGTATGTGTTAACTTGTAAGCATTCCCATTCACAGTTTCTTTATTGCGGTCAAGTTTTATCAAGCCCGAGACCTCGCCCTTGTCCTTCGAGCCCTGCTTCCCAGCCTGGATATACTGACCGGGTAGAACCCTGTGGAATGTGGTCCCGGCGTATGATGTTCCGGCTTGTCCTGTGCACATGGCTTTGAAATTCTTGACCGTCTGCGGAACCTGTCTTCCATACAAACCTATGACAATGCGACCCAAAGGTTCACCTACAGTGCAGATCTGCGAGGTGTTACCCAGAGTCCGATCCTTTCTCGAGTTGTTCGGGCAAATACTCAAATCTAAATATACCCTATCCGTAATCGTAGTGTCCACCTTCTCTACAGCTCTCACAGGCTCGCTTTTGCCACTCTCTATAATTTGACCGACATTCGAGGTCACCGTCTCGAGTCTGTCACTCTCCGCAAAGCCAGCGAGAGCGGGAACATCCTCAGCTAGCACCTCCGGGACCGCCACGGTTCCTGCTCCCATCAGTGCCGCCCCCAAATAAAAAATCTCTCGGCGGAAGCAAACGGACATGGCGCATTTCGCAGTCCTCCTCGTGGCGCTTCCATTCTGCCCCGTACGCACGACCACCCTCTCGTCGCTGGATTGTTCAGCTCGAGGGGAAGCTGTAGATGTCACACACAGCAACCTCGGGCAGTGCATCGCAAAAGACGCCATTTGAAAAGCCCACTACTCTGGAGCTCTCTGGCCCTTCCCGCCCCAGACACCTGTCCCTATCACTGCTCCATGAGTACCCAGGTCCTCAATCCTGGGAAACGAGCTGAATTCCCTCAAATCGATCAGCCTCAAACCTCGCCCCGCGCTGTGTTCTTCCTTGAAGGTCCTGTGGGACTCATCTCGAATTCTTCATTCCAGAGCTCCCAAGGCAATGAATGACCCACACTGTCGGCATTTGCCAGTGATTTCTGATCGTGCTCGTGTGTAAAAGTTCGCTCCCATGAATTTCCAGAGCATCGATCCTGTCTCTGGCTTTGACAAATGGATCGGGAAGGATCGAGCGCACGATCAGTTTCGGAGAATAACGAACGAACAAAATTGGAGGAAAGCGCACACTGGGGGATAAGATGTCTTCCACGTGGTTACTTCTGGGAATGACACGCGTCACAAAGTCTTGCTGGCATGGAGATAAAGGCAGAGGATGAGTCCTAGGTGTACCGTTCTGGACGGACTGCACCACAGTACAGTACTGTACTGCACATTCTGCTTCTTTGGATTATACTCTTCTTGCCATGAACATAATTTACTCAAACAGATACGGCGGACCTTGTCAAAACTTCCCTAACTTGGAAATCTCAACAAAACAAAGCGTGTTTCAATATGATATTCAGATAGAAGGTGATAGGATAAAATGTTAATAAAACAGGAGAAAAACGTCGCCAATTTAAGAATCAAAAACGGGTAAATCTTAAATCTGATTGAAAATATTTAATCTTGACGAGTCAAAGAAATTTCCACAGTAACAGCTGGAACAAAATCAATCCCTCAAAAATCTTAAATATTTTATACCAGTAACTCAGTTGATTCACTTTCAAAATGTACAAGAAATGAAGTCTTAGTAAAACATTTACTTTCGTTTTATTTCTAAAACGTAAGAAAACGTTAAAAACGTAAGATTTTAAACCGTAATAAATGTAAGATCGTAAGAAATTCCAAATATAGAATTTATATTATTCAAATGAAAATCGAAATAAAATTTTTATTTTATGCTTGTGTCTTAAATATTCGGAATGAATAAAAATGTTTAATCGACTTAATATCGATTTTACATTTTATTCTTATTACTTTAATGTCATAAATCATATATGGCTTATACAATGACATTTTTCAACCATACAATCAGATATAAAATTAAATTCATAGTCAAATGTTTGAATTTTTCTAAATTTTTTCATCCTAAACATTTCAAAATTGAACTATTGTACACCATTATTATCAACTTAAATAACTTTTTAGGTTTTCCCTATAATTATCAAAATTTTACAAAACTTTGTAACTGAATTAAAAATTGTATAATTTATTTATTTAAATCATATGATGAATTGAAGTCAGTTTTAAAATCATAAAATATATTCGAGTTATACCAGCTAGTTATTTGCATAAATATAGAAATTTCAACTTTAAAGCTTCAAAACATTACAATGCTACTTCATTTGTATTTGGTAATGATTACTTGCAACACCATCAATATTGTTTAAAATCACATATGAGTTTTTGTAATATTTTTAAATGATGACACAAATTAATAGCATGGCGGTTGATATGACGGAAAAAATATTGCAAATAATTATGATGACTTTTTACTTGAAAAACTTTTACATTTTAAAGATTATATCAACTCTTATGTATCAAAACTTTTGATAAATCTTCAAAACTTGATATTATGAATCTAGCAATTACAAAATCAGAGCAGAGATCTGGGCGTCAAATATTGCTTGTCACTCTATAAATTTAAGGATTCAATTTTTAAATATATCATCATTATGATTTTTGAACCATTTTTGAATTTTTTTAACGTAAAATTTAAAAAAATTAAGTTAAAATTTTGACTTGTATTGACATTGCTTGAGAATATTAAAAAATTAAATTGAAATTTTGAAATTTTATTTTGTGATTCATAATAGATTTAATAATATTTGTAAACATTATGTATATTTATCATATTTAAAATAAATTTTTTTGATTATGTTAAGATATAAGTTTAGACACAATAGAGTATACACTTCCAAGATTAAAAATTTTAACTCATCAATATAAGTTCAAAAGCAATAATATGGTTTGTAATTTTATGAAATTGTAATATTATTTTATATGTAATTTCGTTTATTTATCATTTATTTTATATCATAATAATTTATTTTAAGAAATTCAGTTTGTTATAAATAGTTTAAAAAATTGAATGAAATCATATCAAAAAATTTTAATTGAAGATTAAAAACACTTAGATTAATGGAACGAAATAAGATGTGGCAAAAAAATTATATAAAGAGTTTAATATTTTAAAACATTATTGAAACTTATAACATAATTAAAAATGTATATATAAATCTATTTTAATATTGTATTATTTTCATGTGCAACAGATTTGTACATCTTTTGGATCTTATACAATTTCAATCTAATTTGATATAAATTTTCAAACAAGTCAATATTTTATTACAAAATATTAAAATATATTTCATTTTATGCAAAATTTCTATAGTTTGTCAGCAAATATTTATATCTCTAGCACATTTTTTTATTTAAAAATCATTCAAATCTTCAAATAAACATAATATGATATGTACATCTATCAAACATCAAGCTTTGTTCAAAATTAGACTTAATATATTGTGCACACAAAGTACATGGAATATATATATATATATATATATATACACTATGATGTGTGTTTTCATTTTTTTTATTTGTGATTTATAAGATTCTTGTGCATTTTTTGTTACAACTGATATCAAAACGGGTAATTGGATCCAAGTTAATGCCATGGCAAATTTTTTGTGGTTGTGAGGGCTTGGATGAGGCACACTAGGCTGCAATATTCATCCAAACATTCATACGTCAAAGTTGGCAATGCACAACAAATGCAGTAATTTCAACAAGATTTAAATATCTAAGTATTGATACTTTAATTCAAATTGAATGAAGAGAAGCGAAACATCTATACATATTTCCACAATAAAAGTGTAATATAGATATTTGGAAAAAATCATATTGAAGGTGAACCTGTTCCAATATGAAACTTTAGTCATTTTTAAAAATTAGCTAGATGTTAAAGATGACAAGCTATTGCTTTTTTGTTATCAAGATGTTATAGTGAAATTCTTTGACAATGCAAAACTTTATGTTAAGAAGGTCAAAGGAATTATAAAACATGCAATAGATGAAGAAAATCTTGTGGTATTTATCAAACTCTTGTTGGATGAACATGATCCCGAACAATAACGTTCTCTTAGAACCAAATTGTGGAAGCACTGAAAGTTTTGCTAAAGATTAGACATGTATTATGTGGATCTTCTTTACTTTTATATGTCATACACTAGCACATCCATTGAGAAAACTCTAAAAGGTTATAAATTTGATGATTGATAATGGATATGCAATCTACTAAAGCATCCGCAAATGAATTGTTTAGCAAGTTATTGAAACTTGAAATGTTGTTCATACAGGTAATCTAATTGATTCTGCTATGGGCAATCAAAGTATAAAATCTAGCTTGTGAGAAGATAGAAGCACAGTATTTTCCATTGTACAAGCGGTATGAATTGGGCTTGACTACGCTATCAAGTTATGTTTTTTTGAGCAAAGCAAACACTCTAGAGAGTACTTATTTGATTCAATAAACTTATCATTAAAATGAGATTGAAACATGAGATTGTCAATAATTATTATGATAGTCAAAATGTGTTGTATCTTACTCTAAATAAAGTGATGGATAGCATAATGAAACACATCAACATCAAGTATCATTTTATCAAAAACACAGTATGTGATTAAAAGATTGAAGTAATCAAGATTGACACTACACTCAATCCAACTCATGGGTTTACTAAAATAAATTCTTTAGAAAATTTTAGTAAATGTTGTACTACTAAGCAAGTTTTACATTTAGAGTATAATTAATGTTTACTATTAACCTTTGTTAACTTCATATTTTATTTTTCTATCATATTTTGGCTACGATTTAGTTCTAGTTGCTTTAGTGTAAAAATTAGGTTATATTACATTTTCTTCTAGAATTTTGCACGGACTACGTATACAATTTATGGAGAAAACTGTCTCCAAGACATGACTTTAGGAAGATGTTGTTACTAATAATTCAAGTCTTGAGTTAAATTTTAGTTAATCTAACTTGTATTAGGGTTAAATTTATGCTTAAACCTAATTAGTATGAGAACTAGAATTTTTACTACATTGTATAAATAGAAGTACAAGCCACGGCTCACATGTAACACTTTGTAGGGATTTTTGTAAAAAATCTTTTGTTCTTCCATATGTAGTTGAAGAATGATCAAACGTATATTTTTGTTGACGTTGAGTGTCTTCACATATTTTATAAGTGATTTATTGATTTTTGTGCAATTTTTTTTACATATGAATTACTTATTACTATATGATCTAAATCATCATGATTTAATCAATTCAAATTTTAACTTATGAATATTAATACCAAAAAAATAAATGTGAATAAAGAAGCATAATATGTCTAAGGTATTATTGAATTCTTGTATACATACATACATATGTGTATATATACAAATATATTGCTAGATTCATATTAAAACTCAAATAATATAGTTTCATCCATCAGTATGTATGTCATAATCTACAAGGAATGAATTTTTTGACAACAATAGATGAACTTTTGTCCTAAAGTTGAAATACACCATTATATTCCTTTATCATCAATATCATTATGTTTCAGCTGTCAAATTTTATGCCAACGTTGAATATATTGATGTCATGTGATTGTTAATGTGAAAATATTAATTTTTTGATAAGATTATTAAAACTATAAGTGTCAAACCTGATTATCCTACATTTCCAGTGCAGAATTCATTTTGAACAGTTAAATGTCATTCATTAAATGTTGAATTCAACCTTTCACAGTTGTATTGTAACTATTGAAAAAATTAAATACAAACATCATATTTAAAATACATTTAGACTGTAAGTATTGAAAAAATTAAATACAAACATCATATTTAAAACACATTTAGACTGTAACTATTGAAAAAATTAAATACAAACATCATATTTAAAATACATTTAGACATGTCAGAATCGGATGTTATCAACAGTTTTGAAATCAATCAAATCATTAGTTACTTTTGTGTCACTCAAAGCCTACCATGGTAACAATTTTAACCCTATACATTAAACTCTAGTTAGCTCTAGATGGTGATACTGATTCTCAATCAAACCGGTTACAAAAGATTTCATTCGCGCAACCCGTACATGATAATTTGCACATGGTTTGAATAAAGACAAATTTTTTTACTTGATTATACCTCCATGGTGATAACGAATTTTTGTGCTAACAGATTGCTAACGAGATATTTGCTTGATGGGACCCCATCAAAACGTAAATTGCTTGATGGTACCCATCAAGTTTCAATTTATCCGATGGGACGCCACCAATAGTACACCGTCGGTGAATTCTAATACGCGTTCTAGTACGGATATATTCTTGTACAAATGAGTTCTAATACATGTTCTTTTACTAATATGTTCTAATTCATGTTTCTACGATGGTTTTGACTGCGTGCCATTGGAGTTTTAACAAAACTGGAAATGCTCTCGTCCTCAAGATTTCCAGACCCAATAGAATTTATCGAAGCTTATGGACATTAAGGGTTGCGCTCGCATTCCAAAAACAATTTGCACAAGCACACTAAATCGAAAAAAATCCCTTTTGGATCTGGAAACAATGATCTGAGATGCAGAGCAATGCCATTGGAAGTATACCTTCCACTTCCAATAATCGTGAATTCTAATGTCAAACCATCAAATTTCTACTCCAGTATATCTACAGCATCAGACTGCCACAATGAAGATTTTTGAAAATTAAAAAAGTTCATCCTTGAAACAACGGTGACTTCTTAAGGAGCCGATTTGACGATGACGTGGATTGTTTGGGAGGTCCCATCGGGTAAATTGATAGGTCCCATCAAGCAAATATCTGGATTACTATAGTCCACAAATGCTCATAATAGGTTGTAAACATCTTTAAGGATTTGTCGAATTATTATGAAAGTGCCCGATAAAATCATGGAAAGACAGCTACAAACATGTGTCAATACGCTCTTCCGTCGAAATGACCAACCACTCTACCACAAGATAAGAGTAAAAGGAAACGAATATAGCTTTGTTTGATTTGATGAGGAAAGCGAGGGAGCAATATAAGTATGGGAAGACCTTTATAAGTCGTACTAGTTTGAAACAGAACGGTCGATGGATTATGCTCAGTAGCATCAAAATGGGGAAATAGGTCATACTGCACAGCTAGTAATATTCTTGATGTTTTCCTAGATCTATTATGCTCCTTTCGATAGATCTACGCCGTGAAAGGATGATCCCAAGCTCCGCCGACAAAGACCTGCCTCTCCCTTACACAGTACCGTGGGGTAAGAGTCAGCTCAAAACTTTAGTAACGGGGCCAAGTAAATAGCAAAAATTGATAAAATCCTTAGGCATCCGTACGAGGATGAAACCAAACGGGTTACACGGTCTAGGTCCACCGACATCTCACAAATCCTCCTGCACGTACACTGCTGTTGGTGATCCTCGATGTGAAATTCTGGTTGGCCATTGTGCAAAATAGAAAAGTTATGATGGTGTGTAGGTGCAGCGAATCTGAGAATAAAGTACAGCATGGAAAATGGTGCCATCTCGTACGGACGAGTTCCAGTTTACAATCCGACGAATCTAGCGACGAACACATTTCTCTACCGCCGGTTGCAGCAGAAGTTGCGGTATATTGCCGAGGAAAATGAGTCCGGAAACTCCAGGTTCGGGCTCTCTGCCGACAATGCGGCGGAATGCGAAGCGCAGCATGTTTCCGACTGCCAACGCAATTTTCAAAATCACGGCAAAAGAACGGACGCAAGTGTGTGACGAAGTGAAATGTGTGAGTGAGCGGAGCGACAAGGATATAACGGACCATGTACAGCGCAGAGGACACGAGCAGCCTCTGCAGCAAAAAGCCGCACGGTCGTTGAGGCCGAGACGATAGGATTCCGGGCTCCCCGTACGGGGAAAAGTCGCGCAACCGGATGTTCGTTGCAATCCAGATATCTCACAAAGGCCAGCAAGTCACGCAAAAGACATCCCAAGCGGGGGGGCGGGCGGATTATCACACTGACGCAAACGTCGCAGCAGTGCAAGTCTCCCACGTCCGTTATCGCGACACTTCTCTCTTCGGGGTCCTCAATCCCAATGGTGTCAGAGAACAAGCCTCCGGCGGGATACCCACCAGGTCAATCAATCAATCAACGGAAGGTCAACAGCAAGACGCCCAGGTTCCGGCACGTATGTAGGCCCCTTGTCCCGCATGCACGGTGGCACATGGGGCCGACGTCGGAGCAATGTCGCGATTCTTCCCCGCGACGACGGGATGAAATCGGACGCAAAACGCGGGCGCGCGACTTTTCATGATCGCGACGCTTTGCATGCGACGACAGCAAAGGAGGTCGAGGAGAGGAGAAGGCGTCTAGAAATCGATGGAGCGGAAGAGTGAGTAGTCAAAGCGCGTAAGTATTCACGGCAGAAGGACGTAAAGCTGGCGAGCAAGCGGGCAGAGGGGGAGGAGTGGAGTGGAGTGGCCGAGCGCAGGCCCGAGGCCGAGGCCCAGAGAGAGCAAAAGTGGAGAGAGAGAGAGAGTAATGTACGAAGAAAGAAGGACGCGTGAGCACAAGAAACAGGGGGAGGCAGAGAGGGGAGCGCGGGGGAACAGGGCGAGCAAAGAGCAGGCAGGGGTGCTCTGGGGCAAGAGCGGGACGAGCATTGGGACCGCTGGGGCTAGAAGGTCCCCTGTTGCTTCCCCGGGAGGAGGACGGGGCCAGGGGGCAGGCAGGACGAGGTGGGGGAGGCAGCGAGAGGCGAGCGGAGAGGGAGAAGAAAAGTGGCTCGCTTGCGGTTCGAGCTATAGCTGGTGGAAGGGGGGAGGGAGGACAGCTGCTCGCCAGGGCCCAGGGTCGTGACGACACGGGAGCGAGGAATCGAGAGTAGAATCGGGAACGAGGAAGAGACACAGAGAGGGAGAGATCGACAGGAAGCTTCCGTGACGTATGGCCGTCGATGGTGCTGGTGCTGGGGCTGGGGGTCGTTGAATGAACATTGGAGGAGCATGGCTTGCGACCCGGTGGTGGGGGTACAGATTGAGAGTGGGATTCAGTGAGATTGTGGCAGGTAGGAGTGGCGGGATGCGGTGGTGTTGAGAGGGGCAGCGAGCGTGCATGAATTAGACGACGAAGTAGGATGATGTTACAGCAGCAGCAGCAAAGGAGAGACGGGGGAGGAAGACTAGCGACAGGAGAAAGCAGCTGAGCCTGTCCGTTTTGGAATTATGCAATGCTGACCCGTTGTAAGCGTCTTCATGCCTGGTTGACTTCGGATTGAAGTGATTGGTTTGGCTGATTTCGATCTGCCAGTGTACTGTGAGCTGAGTCGGATGGATTCCGAGAGGCTCCTGCTTCCGTTTCATTACTTAGGTCTCAAAAAGTTGATGCTTGGTAGTTCCAGGAAGAATCCATGTAAAACTCGTCGCAGAACATCATTGCAGGCCAGGTTACTGCTCGATTTGCTGTGCACCAAAATCTCTGTATGAGTCACCGTTGACTGTGACCTGATTATCGAAAGGGCTGCATCATTTTTCTTCTGAGATCAGATTTCTTGCGGCTAGTGTTAGTCGTATGAGCTTGTGCTCATGCGACTACTTACTAGATTGCCATGATGTTTAGTAAGGAAAGCATTGGTGTGTGCTACACGTTCATCCACTTTGGGCCCTCGTCTAGCTGTGTGTCTCGGGAGTGAAATCAAGTATGCTGAGGCTTTCAATGGACTTGTTCTAGGGGCACCCTCCGCAAGATCTGGGTGGGGCGTTAAGCTCTGCTGGGCGGGAGTCCATGTATTTTGTGTTGGACTTCTTCTCTTGTTGGAATCCGATCTGCGTCGCCAAACCTTTAAATTTTCCTGGTGAGTCCTCACTCATGGTCTACTTACTGCTGCTTATTCCTGGGCGAGCGTCAGAGTCTTCTTCCACACATGATTTCCACTGTTCAACTCTAATTCAAAGAATAAGTTGAGACATTCTTTTGAGAAAGTCTGAAGGAGCCATATGATCTTCGAATCTCGCTCGTATGACCAAACCTATCAAGTTTTGAGACTATACATATGATTTTAAGTGTAATGGCTTATCTCCCTGGCTCTCGACAGCACTGAAATGTTAGAGGAGAGTTTATACACGGGGGCTAATAAAATGGTTCGTACAAATGTTTACTCGGTTTTCAGGTATGCAGGGATATACTATGTGGTGTTTATACTTACTGTTGTGCAATATTACTACACGGCCGGTTCCTCTCCAGGGTATGAATTTCATGAGAATTGTCGCAGTTTACATTTCACGACAGTAGTTTGTGGAGTTTTAAGTATTTCATTGTCTAAGTCTGGGATTTCTCAGAGTTTAGCAGGGGAGTAGTGTTTTAGTATATTGTACTAAAACACATTGTATGAAATTTCCCCCTTTCGTGTAGATTTATGTTACACCTGTACCAAATTAGCTCTGCTTTGAATCATAATCTATTTCTCATCTGTTTCAATGGTCTCCAGGTATGTAATAGATGTCATGCAAGGGAATGCAGATTTTGAAGCAAATACAAAATCAGCTTTAGATGGGAGCAACGGGTACTGTGTCTGCCTCTCCGGCTCTTCCATTCCGATTTTTGCAAATCTGGTGATCATAACTTTCAGTTAATGTGAAAACTTAAACTGATTTATTTCCGTAATGATTGTTGTGACGGCAGCAATAATCCATGGCTACGGCGTTCTGCATCTTCAAGCTACCAAAATTCAAATGGAAATATCAATGGTGGTAGCAGCACTAGTGATAATATACCCACTATCTCAGAGACCACCCCGTTGTTACCTAGCTCTAGTGAGGTGGTACCTACACTCGCGCCCCCGGTACCGGTTTCGACCCCTAACATATGCACCGGGACTTTGTTCAGTCAACCAAGTTTTCCTACCGACAGCAGGTCAGATTCCGGAAACACCTCGAGATGATGTTGAGAGTTTGTCCTTAGCCAATTGCTAGCACATTATTTACTTCCAAGCTTTTCAAAGTCTGCGTGTTCATCAGTCAAGACCTCTTTGACCATGCTATTTGCACATCAGAAGAGGCGATTGCTCTTGTCATTGCTTATGATTTGTATGTTGTGTCGCATATCTTCATGGGCAGCTCTCGATGCCCCTATTGTCGAGTATTCCAGGTACTTTGGCCCTCTCTCAACCTAAATATTACGATGTCACACGGATTTCAGAAACAGCCGAATAACACAGAATACTCATGTAATTCGCATTACATGAGTATTCTGTACCATTGTTATGAGAAAGATTTGCTTTTACAGGCTAAGAATTGGCGGCATATTGTCACCGTACCTGTAGTCTAATGTAAATCTTATGTCGTTGTAAATTTGAATATGCAGCCCCTTCGAACGAAACACTGTTATGACTGTGACAAGTGCGTGTTGCGGTTTGACCATCATTGCATCTGGCTAGGCACGTGTGTGGGTCAATACAACCACAGGAGATTCTGGTGTGTGAACATGACCCATATTGTGTTTACTTTACTCAACAATTTCGTCCATATCTTGGCCACATTTGAATAAGTTACAGTTTAGTCAGGAATAGAAATTGATGCTGGTTTACGCACAGTGGACCAACGACCCGATAAATTTGTATCCTTTCATGCAGGTGGTATCTTTTCTTTGAGACAGTACTCACATTCTGGACTACTATTTTATACGGCTCTGCCTTCAGCAAAAATGGTGGGAGTAATTGGTAAGTATCGTCTGAACCCTATTGAGTGTTGAATTCTATGCTTGAAATCGATTCATTTAGTTCATTTTGTTGGAACATCATGTAATCATGATGTTAAAGCTGGCAGTGTGGATTTGAATGCAGGTTGTTACACGACTCTGTGGTGCTGGCGAATCTTTTGGGTCTTATTGCCTGCCTTCTATTTCTTGTTACTTTACTCATTTTTCATACGTAAGTTGTCACGAGTTCTGTAATAAACTTCATGTCAAAGGATTGTTGTCGAATTATAAGGTGATCCTGAATGTCGTGAGGTAGAATCTTAGATGATATCTTTTATTACCGTCATCGTTGTTTATTTTATCTGCCACATCATTATTCGTAATTTTCTATTTGTTATTGTTGTTAGAACCAAGGTTTGTGGATGTTAGTTTGATAGGTGTACCTGCAACTTTGGCAGTTATTTGGCAGTGACCGACCAGACCACGTATGAGAAGACTAGACGGCGTCGCATCAACTATCTAAAGTATGTATTTTCTTTCAAGCTGAACTTGTCGTGGCAATAATCGTGAAGTGTATAGTTTCCAAATTTGGGCAATATTACTTCGTCATGAGATCAAGGATTAGACTTTTAGAGACATATACCATTGTCTTTCATCTTATGTGATTGTAAGATATTATCTGTTAGTGGGAGGAAACTGAAGTGTATTGTTGTTGATGTCATAATGTTGATTTCTCTGATGGACAAGTATTGAGATCATAACGTGCTTGAGATCTTGACCATGTGTGCAGGACTCTTCCTCCGAACTATAATCCCTTCAACAAGGGTTGTTTTAAGAATACCTACTCCTTTTGTTGCACCCAAGATAGTACTTATCCTATATATACGATTCCTAGTGCAGATGATATCGAAGCTGCTAGAAGTAGGAGGTCGTCATGCTTCGGAACGTCATCGACTCTTAGTTAGATATCGAACAATATTATTCGTTGTTGTGTAAGGATTTTGCGGGGTGGGATTCAACAGCTACATATAGATGCGGGATTGAGATGATTTGATGTTGGTCCATGGCCGGTGAAATGATTCAGTTAAAAGCTGGTCCAGTGTACATACTGGCTCTTAACTGCAATCTGCCAATGAACATAGAGAAACGGGATGGTGTAGAGATGTACACTTAAATACAGAGAGTAATATGGCCGAGATGCCCTTGGGTGAAGATGCTCTTAGCATGCAGGTTTACAATCCCGTCCACTCATTACTCGGTAGGAGGATAAACTGAAGGTCTTTCAAACAATAATACCGTGGGAGCAGTTTTTTAGGTGGTAGTTATAAGTTACTGTCGGTTTGTGTGGGCGGAGGGGGAGCATCGGGAGGTGAATGAAGATTATGTGTCAAATACATTTCAAGGAGGCCCTTTACTCTTTGAGATGAACTTGCTCAATACACATGTGGATGGTCACATTTAGTGCGCAGTCATGTTCTCAATCGGTTGAACGATATTTTTAGAAAATTTCAATTTCAATTTCAATTGTTTTGGTTGGATCTGGCCTCTAGTTCAAACTTAGTCAGCTAATGTAGACTCGTCATTTGTCCACACTTTTATGACTGGGTTATCAGTGCTGTCACTATTCGTCAATTTCCACTCAAATGTCTCTTCATCTTTCTGGTAGCCACATTGGATGTTCGTAGATTTAGTGCATTTAACTGCAGACGAAAAAGTCGCTGCAAAGTTGATATTTTTTAGGAACGTTTAGGTTGTCCGACAAGTAGTTACCAGACCGTGAGTGTGTAGCAGTAGAAGTAATGTTTGCACACAACTGCTGAAATTGAAGAGACATCTGAAGTTCTTCGGGGTATCTAGTAATAACTGTTTTTAAATGCGATGGTTGTCTTCAAGAGACATCTCAAAGATGATTTGGCTTGAATTGAAGATGAAGTAAGTAAAATTTTCAGATGCGAATGTCGTAGGTATCTCTGTCTACATTGGGGTAATTGTTGTGACCACCAATTTAGTTCGAGAACTGCATGAACATGATTGTTGTCAGCATATTAGCAGTGTCAGGTTGCACAAGTGTGATCCTCGTCACGGGTGTGCTAACAAATTTATTCTTACAACCTTCATTGACAGGTGCGTGCAAAGCCATGATCAGAAAAGTTGAAATAGCATAATAGCTGATCTTCTCCCTCTTTTAAACTTGAATTAATTTCCTTCAGCACCGGCTTCTTCCAACTAATTTTCGAAATGTTCAATCTCGCCCAATAGTTTTCTGAAATTTTTATGCACAATCTTTTATCACACGTTTTGCACACTATGATCGTTATGGCAAGAGCTTGATAAATCGCCAATGGATAGAAGTTGGATTCATTCAGAAGCGTTCTGAGAAGGGTCATCGGTATGACCAGGCAACCAGCGACAGGCAGAGCTCATCATCCTTCTTTACTATGACAAACTGTAAGTTCTATCTCTTTGATGAAAGAAGCACATGAAATCAAAAACTTACCCGAGTAGAGCACTAAGTTGGAAGGGTTTGTCAGTTTTTGTTAAAGTTCGCGGGTTAAAAGGCTCGTCTTCAGCTTTGAATGCTGCATGACAAAAGCTAGTCTACTAAAATGTGAGCATTATGTGATAGATACTATTGGTGTGTCAGATGCCAAGTTTTGAGGTGTCTTATAGAGATATGCTCATGTTTGTGGTTTTGTTACGAAGTCTTCTACGTTGGAATATGGCGACGGTGTTATCGAAATCTGCTTTAGTGCTTCTTTCGAACTCATACAACCCGGTGAACAAGTAGATGGTAAGGTCTGTGCTTTTTGTACTATGTGCAGGGAGTTTATATTAGCCAGTCTCTACTTGCCTTAGCTGCAATATTCTCCTGCTTAGAATATCAAGGAAGAAATTCGTTTATTCGTTTATCTTATCTTATTCGAAAAAATATTGTCGGCTAAAGTTATTAGTTCAGGTTTGAATGGTGTTGCCATCCTTAACCTATAGACTTCGTAATGGCAAAGAAAGCTTCTTGACTACTGTCACATGAGAATAGAAAGAGAATACCGCTCATTCAGCCACTCCGACACTAAGGCAATAAAGCTTGCATCCATGTCATTGTTATATATTCAGGTTATAACACGACTCGACCATTATACGGGTGCGTGAGCTCTAAGTCTAACGCCCCGAGCTCTGCAATGAACTCTGAAATGAAATTTTCGGTTGTTTGTGACCCCACCAGATTTACCACAGTTCTCCCCCTTTCAGTAATGCAATTCCTGCTCGTAACCCACTCACAGTAACAGACGAGAAGTGCTATATTTCTCAAACAAGGTTTTGATGGCATACAACAAGAAACGCAATATCTGAGTTATGTTTTATTTTCATTCTACCTGAATAAGAAATATCTGCATAGAAACCCGTGCTTGAAAAGACTGTAGAGCTTGCAGATCTCACCTTTAGATTTCATTATACGGGTGGGAAGGAAAGGAACGAGAATTCATGGTGCGTTTGCATCATAAAAAGATGAGACTACTTTGGGGACGCACTGAGAGGTGGGAGGTACATCCTCCGGTCATCAAATTCTGACAACCAGGATGTTTGGAATGGGGCCTAGCCCCGTCTTATCCCTTTGGTATCATTCAAGTACTGCATGGTGGGATCATCCCATTCCCTTTGCTATGTTACTCGGTTCCCTTTGTGAGGAATGTGATTTTTGATGGAAAGGAAAGTCACATTCCTAGCATCATATTTATGAGCCGGCGCTTAAAGGTAAAAAAAAATTACAGAATATAGACATCATGGAATGCGAGGGAAGGAAAAGTTTCCAAAGTCGTTCCATCGTTTCCATCTATACACTATTTACTGAGACTGACATTAAAGATCACAATGTACAACCATGACACAACAACTCATATAGCTGGGATCTTCAGGAGTGACATGACTTTAACACACCATGGTAAGCCTGTGCACGACTTGTAGATTCTAGTGAGACTCATCAGCTTGCAGTTTTGATAGAGGCTGGAGCTTTGGACGAGCGGAATTAGTCTATGAGAATTCTGAGCACTTGCAACTTTGTCAATCTGTTACTCTAAGGCATCCAAAAAAATAATAATAAAAATATGCAAACAGTAGACAGAGCTCATGAGATCGCTCCCGGATGTTTTCTAATATCATCTGACGCCAATGTCCACCTGGACATTGGCGTCAGATGATATTATAAATCAGTGGCAGTAATAGGCTCTTACGCAACATCTAGCGTCAAAAGCTACTTAGACTCGTTCAGAAATTTATCAAACGTTGAAGATACATGTGTTGAACAGCAGCTCCGTATGTGGTCTGTATGTATTTTTTTATTAATATATCAAAAATTAAATCCATTAATAAAGCTGTTCGGGCCTAGGCTCTTCTTACCTCTTAGAAAACGTTTAAACACTGTTAGAGTGTAAATTTTTTTCTTACCGCTTTAGTTTCATCCATGGTTTTACTTGATGGTATCTTTGTAGGTTTTTGATTAAGTAATCACTTTTCAGGGTTACGGAAAATATGTATTTGAACACATACCTCAGAGACATTGGTTGGTCGCAAGCTTCTTGGAACCTTGAACATATTCATCAATTTCGAGGCATTGCTTGTCTGATACAATATATTAAAATAAGATGTATCAGAAATCATATTTGAACAGAGCTCTTGTTCAAATGAGTACTATTTAATAGCTTATGTAAAGAAAAGAAACTTTTCTTTTGTCCCTACACAATCATTGCCTCTCCAACTTTATGTTTTGTCTGTGCGAGGTAGAAATCTCTTCTCTCAAAGGAGCACGGTAATGCACTCTCTTACAACGAGCGATCATAGACTGGGACGAATGTTGCACAAGCCATCCGGGAGCATCATTGCTGTATGGCCGTAGAGACTCCAGTTTCTCTCGGCCACCCGCCTAATCACATCCCATCGTGCACGTGGAATGGTCGCATCTTGGTTGAGAGCATGATCCAACTCGCTGCACATAATCCCCATTGCGAGGGATCATGTCCAACTTTGGTCGTGCAGAATACGTGCTGCTAACGTCGGGGATAACAGCTAGCGAACTTGTCGAATCTGTTCGTATGTATTATTTCATCCTTGTCGGGACACATGAACAAACATTAACCAGATGCGCTCTTCTAATGTCGTCTCCTTTCACATGCTTCTAATACTGGTCGGCATGGGTTTATCATACAGAAATGTGATGGTGATGACCTCCACTCAGTGTGTAAACTTTTCCATTAACCTCATGCATGACGTTTTCATAATAACGACTTGCGGATTCGGGGGCATGAAGCCACATACTATCATGATTCTGATTATTGAACTGATCTAAGGTGGAGATGCTCCTTGTTCTCATAGCTTTGTTTGTCTGTCTTCCTGGGTACAGCTACAGACGGGCTATGTACATATAACCATGTGCGAACGACTTATGATCCAGAACTCATATTGAGCGGTTGACATTCATCATCACGTGCACAAACAAGAAGAATATGTCATCCCTTCTTCTCTTGTTCTCGAAAATGGTAAGCCTCGACATTACTTCTTTTATGCTGCTGTTTGTCATCTTACCGTAGTGCAGTGAATAAGGAACTACACCTTCTTCACATGAAGAGTGCTAATTCCGTATTTTAGCAAATTATGAAAGGGCCCAAGTGGATAGCAAACAAGATGGGAAGAACCCATCGAGCTTTACAAGGATGAATCCAAGGGGACTAGGTGCCAAATGTAGCCTAATGATAAATATGTACTCCATCACATAGAATATCAAATATATCAGCATTAGAGGATTTACAAATAACATCCCATTTCACATCAACTAAGTAAGGTGGTTTGTAAAGTACCTTTCCCGAAGGATTATAGAAAAACTTTAATGAAATAAAATAACATATTATTTTACTTCATTGAAATTTTTGAATTTTTAAAATTTTGAATTATTTTGTACTCAAATTTCTTTCATACGTCTCACAGATACTTTCATATGTAATCAAGAAACAAGAATATGAAATAGTTGCTCAAAGTGACCAACTAAGTATAAATGATATGGAGGATGTCTCTACGCATGTTTATCTCCATGCCAAATCTAGTGCCATATTCTCAAAACTTTCTAATCTGATCTTGTAAAAAATGCACATCACACGTCTATCAAGTAATATCTTTATATATATATAATACTAAAATAGAACCAAACGGCATATGAGAGTCATCTAGCCGAGTAAATTAATCTCAGTGAAATAGAATCTTGTGAACTACAACGTCCACATAATGTTTCAGTTGATCACAAGATGCAAAAAATGTAAGTAACAATTTAAAGCATTGCTTGAGTAATCGATTAATTGGAATGAAAAGGACATAAGACATCGTTAGAAAACGACACACACAATATTACAATATGTCAGTATCTGTGATCATCATTAGATATTTTCATCGTCATTACTTTTGAACATGATCAATACATGAATAAAATATAATTCCATGTAACAAATGATGAACTTACTAGAAAATTATGTTTTTATTTTACTTAACGATGCAATCTGAAACCTCATC